ATTATAATAGATCCACATGGTAAAACTATATATTATAACAGATCCACATGGTAAAACTATATATTATAATAGATCCATGGTAAAACTATATATTATAATAGACCCACATGGTAAAACTATATATTATAATAGATAAACATGGTAAAACTATATATTATAATAGATCCATGGTAAAACTATATATTATAATAGATCCACATGGTAAAACTATATATTATAATAGATCCATGGTAAAACTATATATTATAATAGATCCACATGGTAAAACTATATATTATAATAGATCCATGGTAAAACTATATATTATAACAGATCCACATGGTAAAACTATATATTATAATAGATCCACATGGTAAAACTATATATTATAATAGATCCACATGGTAAAACTATATATTATAATAGATCCATGGTAAAACTATATATTATAATAGATCCATGGTAAAACTATATATTATAATAGATCCACATGGTAAAACTATATATTATAACAGATCCACATGGTAAAACTATATATTATAACAGATCCACATGGTAAAACTATATATTATAATAGATCCACATGGTAAAACTATATATTATAATAGATCCACATGGTAAAACTATATATTATAATAGATCCATGGTAAAACTATATATTATAATAGATCCACATGGTAAAACTATATATTATAATAGATCCACATGGTAAAACTATATATTATAATAGATCCACATGGTAAAACTATATATTATAATAGATCCACATGGCAAAACTATATATTATAATAGATCCACATGGTAAAACTATATATTATAACAGATCCACATGGTAAAACTATATATTATAATAGATCCACATGGTAAAACTATATATTATAATAGATCCACATGGTAAAACTATATATTATAATAGATCCATGGTAAAACTATATATTATAACAGATCCACATGGTAAAACTATATATTATAATAGATCCACATGGTAAAACTATATATTATAATAGATCCACATGGTAAAACTATATATTATAATAGATCCACATGGTAAAACTATATATTATAATAGATCCATGGTAAAACTATATATTATAATAGATCCATAGTTAAACTATATATTATAATAGATCCACATGGTAAAACTATATATTATAACAGATCCACATGGTAAAACTATATATTATAATAGATCCACATGGTAAAACTATATATTATAATAGATCCACATGGTAAAACTATATATTATAATAGATCCACATGGTAAAACTATATATTATAATAGATCCATGGTAAAACTATATATTATAATAGATCCATGGTAAGTAAGTAAGTAAGTAAGTAAGTTTTTTATTTATATACCGCCTTTTCACTGCAGATCTGAGTCTCAAAGCGGTTTACAATTGTTAATTTTGGGCATTTGTCTCTCACTCCACACAGAGATGGGAGCAGGGCCAGTACAGGAGGCGCATGCCAGAACTATTGGACATATTTTTAGTGGTAGGGGAAACCGGAGCACCCGGAGGAAACCTACGCAGACACGGGGAGAACATGCAAACTCCACTCAGAAAGGCCCTGGTCCAGCCGGGATTTGAACCCAGGACCTTCTTGCTGAGAGGCGAGAGTGCTATCCACTCAGCCACCGTGCCGCCCATGGTAAAACTATATATTATAATAGATCCACATGGTAAAACTATATATTATAATAGATCCATGGTGAAACTCAGTAGAGCCTCTGTGCAGCAGGTGCTGCGTCTGAACAGGTCTTGTTTACATGTCGGCTCCACGCGTCTGTCAAGTGCCCGAGACATTTGGAGAGATCCGGTCATTTATCAAACTAAAGTATTCTTTCCTTGGCAGTCTGGTGAAAGACAGAGTTGAGGAGCACTGTCAAACAATATAGGCAAAAGTCTCCTTAACTCTACAGACACCGTACTCAAATCTCAATATATCCATCCATCCATCCATCCATTTTCTTCCCCTTAATCCTTTTCTGGGTCGGGGGGGTGGCAGTCAGAGCTGCACCCAGTACACTTAGCACCAGCCCCTCACTGATCCACCTGCAGGTGGTGAGTCCACAGGAGCTGAGATCTTTCAGTGGGAGCATCAGGCAAAGTGGGGTTAAGTGTCTTGCCCAAGGACACAACGACAGTATTCATCAGTGGGAGTCGTGAAGTAGGTCTTATGGTGGGCTCGAACCCACGACCTTCAGGCCCAAAGGCCAATGCTCTACCAACTGAGCTACTATCGCCCCATCTCAATATATGAGACTGCAATATAAGATCTCAACACTAGAGGCACTAGAAATTACACAGAGTACCTTTAAAGAAGGATTGGAAAAGAGCAGTTTATTATGATGACAGATTAGGGCCCTTTAATGATGACAGATTAGGGCCCTTTAATGATGACTTGATATGAAAATGTTACATATTGCTACTTTAAATTAATTGAATAGTTCCACAGACTGTATGCCTACTAACCCAGACTAACTCCACCCAGAGGTGCGCCCCCAACTGGACATTTAAGGCAGTGCACTAAACCAGTGTTTTTCAACCTTTTTTGAGCCAAGGCACACTTTTTTCACTGAAAAAATCTTGCGGCACACCTCCAGGAGAAAATGTAAAAATGTATACAGTACTAATGTAAAAAAATATATACTGTACATACTCTGTGTGATATATAAAGTATATCTTATCTTATAATGTATACAGTATACTCTGTAGCCTATATTCACAATATACAGTTATTCTCATCAAAATGCTTAAGTCCAGGCCTTGACATTAAGCTTTATTTAATATTTCTCGATACAATTAACAAGAGTTTGGGAATAAAGTGGCACTAACTGTGTGGAAAAAAACTAAGAAAATCCACTCTCTGCCCAAATAGTCAAATAATAACTAACACAAAGAACATGCATTGTTAGTGCATGGGAAACATTTTGGTATCCGAGCTTTAAATTCAGGAGTTTTGGATGAGGGACACGGGAGGTCCTGAACGCGAGTCCATGGTTCTGTCCGGTCCGCATGTCTATGGTTCTGTCCACTCGACTACGGTCTGCGCTCGGTACCCAGTTCAGAAGTGCGTTCGCGAGAGCTGTTGTACAAAAATGGTACATTTCATAGTTAAACCACTACAACGCGGCCACAGCTGCCCCGGGGCAGAGCGGAGGATGTTAATCCTGTTCAGAAACTGCATAATTCATTTTCAAAAACGTCTCTATCACTTTCACTTCTCACTCGCCACAAAGCTCTTGTCTCGCTCCCTCACACATTTGTTGGTCGCATCCAATTTTACCTTTCTCGCCACAATGCTGACCTGTTACAGCCAGTGGTCGCATCCAATTTTTCAGTTTCACAGTACTTAGCTATCTGCTGCCATCTACTGATTTGAAAAAGTATTACATGGTTACTCCACAGTTCAAAACAAGTCACCGCTCGTCAACAGCGAATGCAGCTATTTTTAGACAAAGTAGACGAATTTCTCACGGCACACCAGACAATATCATACGGCACACTAGTGTGCCGCGGCACAGTGGTTGAAAAACACTGCACTAAACAACTAAATGAATGAATATAGTAATTAAATGGTATGAGTTGAATTAATTATAATAAGCCCAAAAAATAGGACAATAGTAAATAACTAAATTGGCCGCAACAATCAGTGAAAGCATTTTTGGTTTTGATAATGATGTGCTCTGTTATCCCGAAAGCAAGCAGCACTTCAGAACACCATTCAAAGTAACAATAACGGTGCTAAATGGTGCTTTTGACGTCTGTGTAGTATTCAATTATTAAACACAACTCAGATTTCAGATCCAGATATTGTTTGTTTGTCGTTTTCAGTAAAATCGCATTGGAAAAAACATGTGTGAAAGTTTCCAGTGTGCAACAGAGACTTGTGAAGAAATAAAAACAAGCTCAAAAGTACAAGAATAAAACAAGCTCAATAATTACAGAAACAGAAACATTTGCTGCTGTGAAATTGAATATTATTAAAGTGATGTGTACAAACTGATAAAAGCTTGTGGAAAGAAGCTGGTAAAAAAATTGTCTTGGATCTCAACGAACAATATCTTGTGCCAGAGGGAAGAAGCTGGAACATGGTTTTTCCGGGGGCCAGAAGAGTCTTTGATTATTTTAAGAAGTTTAATTCATAAAAAGCCATCAGAAAAGGCAGCTCACAGCTCTCTCTGGTCTCTCTCTGGTCTCTCTCTGGTCTCTCTCTCTGGTCTCTCTCTGGTCTCTCTCTGGTCTCTCTCTCTGGTCTCTCTCTGGTCTCTCTCTGGTCTCTCTCTGGTCTCTCTCTCTGGTCTCTCTCTCTGGTCTCTCTCTGGTCTCTCTCTGGTCTCTCTGGTCTCTCTCTCTGGTCTCTCTCTGGTCTCTCTCTGGTCTCTCTCTGGTCTCTCTCTGGTCTCTCTCTGGTCTCTCTCTCTGGTCTCTCTCTGGTCTCTCTCTGGTCTCTCTCTGGTCTCTCTCTGGTCTCTCTCTGGTCTCTCTCTCTGGTCTCTCTCTGGTCTCTCTCTGGTCTCTCTCTCTGGTCTCTCTCTGGTCTCTCACTGGTCTCTCTCTGGTCTCTCTCTGGTCTCTCTCTTGTCTCTCTCTCTGGTCTCTCTCTGGTCTCTCTCTCTGGTCTCTCTCTGGTCTCTCTCTGGTCTCTCTCTGGACATGCTACACATCTTGGGGTTCTCGCAGAACATCAAAATTGGTCAAATGCAATGAACAAATTCCTGCACGGTTTTGAAGAACACAACATGTTTGGTTTACAAATAGGAAATTAGAAACAATGAAAAAGGTCGTTGGCCAAATGAGAAGAACAGATGAGGTGTTATGGTGATGTCTTCATCTTCAGTTGTTTTTAATGTTGACCCTGATGACCCTGTGTTAACACAATATAAAGTATTATTCATTATTTGTACATTCCTTCCATCGGAATGACGTACGGCGCCGTGGCAGGAGCTCTGGTGTGTACTGTCCTGGTGCACACTGGGGATGTCTTGCACAGTTTTTCCAATGTGGTGGAGTCAGCGCAGTGGGGGAGGAGTCAGTGCAGAGGGGGAGGAGTCAGTGCAGAGGGGGAGGAGTCAGTGCAGTGGGGGAGGAGTCAGTGCATTGGGGGAGGAGTCAGCACAGAGGGGGAGAAGTCAGCGCAGAGGGACGAGTCAGTGCAGTGGGGGAGGAGTCAGTGCAGAGGGGGAGGAGTCAGTGCAGTGGAGGAGGAGTCAGTGGAGAGGGGGAGGAGTCAGCGCAGAGGGGGAGGAGTCAGTGCAATGGGGGAGGAGTCAGCGCAGAGGGGGAGGAGTCAGTGCAGTGGGGGAGGAGTCAGTGTGGCAGCATGACGTCTCTTTGGTCTGAACATGTGTTTTAGACTGACGTGCCAAGATAGCTTTTAACTTATTACCGCCAATGCTTGGAATTTAACCAAAATAATTCAGAAACATTTTCAGTAAATGTGGCTTAGACTGAAACTTGGTGAGTTCCGTATTCTCCCGAGTGGTGGCAGATGTTAAAACATTCCTGGTCTTTCATAACTTGTGAAGCCAAAGTGTTCCAGCCTTTAGAATGTTCCGGAATAATCTATAATAAATGTGACTATGTGACACCCCAGAGAGATGCTTCCTCTAGAGCGAACTCTCTCGGGTGCTCGTCTTCCTCCACTCACATCAACAGAGTCTAATGATCAAATCCACAGAGAGAATGTCACGGTACTTTCTCCAGGAACTAGATTGTTTTAAGTAGGACCCCGAGGGGAGCGTGGAGAGAATGGTAATGCGGTAGAGCTGCCACACACGCCCTGGGGCAGACGGCAATGAGGTTGGACAGCACTGCACCTGAGGAGACGGACAGAACAAATATCTTGTCTTGAAAGTGAAACAATATTTGGTCACACTTTAGTTTAGCCCTCCCTAATTAACAGCTAATTAAGTGCTAATCAGTGTTTTATTTATGGTTAATTATCTCTTAATTGGTATTTATTTAGCTCTTATATGTCTGAATTCTACATGGCCTTTTCCAACATCTCACTGACTTCTGACACTTTCCCATGTGGGTTAGAGGTAGAGTTAGGATACACTAATTAGCACTTTATTAGCTGTTGATTAGTGAAGGCTGGTGTTACCCAAGGTTTTAGCTAATGAGACACGCAAATGCTGAGTGGAGTTGGGATCAAACTTTCTAAATGAGACCTAAGTTACTCGACCAATGCCACCGGGCGGCACGGTGGCTGAGTGGATAGCACTCTCGCCTCTCAGCAAGAAGGTCCTGGGTTCTAATCCCGGTCGGACCAGGGCCTTTCTGAGTGGAGTTTGCATGTTCTCCCCGTGTCTGCGTAGGTTTCCTCCGGGTACTCCGGTTTCCCCTACCACTAAAAATATGTCCAATAGTTCTAGCATGCGCCTCCTGTACTGGCGACTCCGCTCCCATCTCTGTGTGGAGTGAGAGACTAATGCCCAAAATTAACAATTGTAAACCGCTTTGAGACTCAGATCTGCAGTGAAAAGGCGGTATATAAATAAAAACTTACTTACTTACTTACTTACTTACCAATTAAAAAAGCCAAACCAAGATCATCATCATCATCCCCATCATCATCATCACCATCATCATCATCCTCATCATCATCATCATCCCCATCATCATCATCATCATAATCCCCATCATCATTATCCTCATCATTATCCTCATCCCCATCATCATCATCATCCCCATCATCCTCATCATCATCCCCATCATCCTCATCATCATCCCCATCATCATCATCATTATCCTCATCTTGATCATTATCATCATCCCCATCATCATCATCATCATCATCATCCCTATCATCATCATCATCATCCCCATCATCATCATCATCATCATCCCCATCATCCTCATCATCCCCATCATCATCATCCCCATCACATCATCATCATCCCCATCATCATCATCATTATCCTCATCTTGATCATTATCATCATCCCCATCATCCTCATCATCCCCATCATCATCATCATCCCCATCATCATCATCATCCCTATCATCATCATCATCATCCCCATCATCATCATCATCATCATCATCCCCATCACATCATCATCATCCCCATAATCATCATCATCATTCCCATCATCATCATCACCATCATCATCCTCATCATCATCATCCCCATCATCATCATCATCATCCCCATCATCCCCATCATCATCCCCATCATCACCATCATCATCCCCATCATCATCGCTATAATCAAAATCATCATCATCATCCCCATCATCATCATCGCTATGATCATCATCATCGATATAATCAAAATAATCATCATCACCATAATCATCATCATCATCCCCATCATCATCATCATCATCCCCATCATCATCACCACCACCACCATCATCATCATCATCCCCATCATCATCATCATTCCCATCATCATCATCCTCATCATCATCGCTATAATCAAAATCATCATCCTCATCATCATCGCTATAATCAAAATCATCATCATCATCCCCATCATCATCATCGCTATGATCAAAATCATCATTATCATCATTCCCATCATCATCATCATCATCCCCATCATCATCATCATCATCCCCATCATCACTATCATCCCCATCATCATCATCATCCCCATCATCATCATCCTCATCATCATCCCCATCATCATCATCATTATCATCCCCATCATCATCACCACCACCATCATCATCATCATCCCCATCATCATTATCATCCCCATCATCATCATCATCCCCATCATCATCATCATTATCATCATCCCCATCATCACCACCACCATCATCATCATCATCCCCATCATCATCATCATCATCGCTATAATCAAAATCATCACCATCATCATTCCCATCATCATCATCATCATCATCCCCATCATCATCATCATCATCCTCATCCCCATCATCGCTATCATCATCCTCATCATCACCATCATCATCCTCATCAGTAGTAGTAGTATTAATTTTGAAAAAGTATTAATTACTTTATGTTTGACCATTTTAACAGTGTACCCTCTTCATATTCTTAACGACTGCATTTTCAGTCTGAGGATTCCAGAGCACACAGATTGATTCTAAAATCCTGTATTGACGCTTTAAATACATTGTGTAAATATGTGTTAATTATATCATCGTTGACAATTACTCACTGTCCGTAAAAGTGCAGTGTTTCTTCGTTATGACTGAAATACATTTGAAGAAGATGAAATTTGCTATTTATTTTGTATTGCTTTTCTAGTTTCTCTGGCAACCCTGGTACAGACACACATTGTACCGACCTGTACCTGCCTCGTCTGAGGCTTACAATGCTTCTAACAGACAGATTAGCCACGCTTCTAACACCTGATTAGCCATGCTTCTAACAGGTCCCTGCTTTTGTGCTTTTGAGACGGTATCCGCTCGTCAGCATGCTCGCGCTCCCATGACCTGTGCTAACCCTTCCTCACCCACTCGGGCTCCTCCCATGACCTGTGCTAACCCTTCCTCACCCACTCGGGCTCCTCCCATGACCTGTGCTAACCCTTCCTCACCCACTCGGGCTCCTCCCATGACCTGTGCTCACCCTTCCTCACCCACTCGGGCTCCTCCCATGACCTGTGCTAACCCTTCCTCACCCACTCGGGCTCCTCCCATGACCTGTGCTAACCCTTCCTCACCCACTCGGGCTCCTCCCATGACCTGTGCTCACCCTTCCTCACCCACTCGGGCTCCTCCCATGACCAATAATAATAAAGGTTTTATTGTGCATTGGTAATTGTTCCCCCCCACTTGGACACAGTTTGTTAGAAAGAGCAGAACCAATGAACAATACAGCGAGCGTAGTGCGTGAGTATCAAGGTAGTGTTTAGCCTTGTTTATTATTGAGAGATTTTTAGCTATTTTGGTCTTTGCATGACTTTTATGAGCTTTCCATGATAAACTGTTGTCCATAGTTACCCCTAGGGATTTGTTTTCAGCAGCATTTTCAATTCAAACTCCATCAATGCAAATGTTTAAGTTTGGACATGCTTTTGTGTAACCAAACATCATTACTTTTGATTAAATTAAGTTTAATGACAATTTATTTGTGTCCATCCATTGTTTTAGTTTGTTTAGCTCAACGTTTACAGTGTTGATTCATTCTGATGAGTCCGAACTACTGTAGAAAATGTTTGTGTCATCTGCGAAAATAATAAGTTTTAAAGACTTTGACACATTGAAAATATCATTGATATAAAGGTTGAACAACATAGGTCCCAACACTGACCCCTGGGGGACACCACACGCAATGCCAAGACTTTCAGAAACATAATTTTCCATTTAGACAAACTGTGCTCTTCCTGTGAGATAATCTTTCAGCCAGTTCCCCGCTACACCCCTGATACCATCTTTTTGAAGCTTTACCAACATTATTGAGTGGTTCATTGTCTCAAATGCTTTTCTCAGGTCGATAAAAATTCCTATTGCATGTAATTTGTGTTCAATTGCATTTGTTATCTCTTCAACTGCCTCGGTTAAAGCCATGCTAGTGCTTCTTTTCACTCTGAATCCATATGGACTCTTATTTAACAAACTATATTTATCAACAAACTTTTCCAACCGAGCAGTGAATATTTTTTCTAGAACTTTTGAGGACTGTGGCAGCAGGGATATTGGTCGGTAATTTGTAAAACTATGACTGTTCCCATTCTTAAATACTGGTATAACTTTGGCTACTTTCATTTTGTTTGGAAAACAACCAGACTGGAAGGACAGATTACAAATGTACGTTAGAGGTTTGACAATAGTATGGATGACTTTTTTCACAAGTGCCAGGTCGATGTCGTCACAGTCTGAGGAGAATTTACTTTTCAATTATAGTACAGTTTCTTTTACTTCTTGCTGATTGGTTGCTGTGATAAAGATTGAGTACGGATTTGTTTTGATTACTTCACTGCTCGGTGAGGAACCCTGAACAGGAATTTCATTAGAACTGAACAACTGAGGACCAACATTTACAAAGAAACGATTAAAACATTATTTAGATACATACTGTACAAACACATAAACTTTTAGTTACAATATGTATAATGTTTTTGCTGTGGGGTTAATTTTTTATTTTAAAATAGTTTTGAAATGCAGACAGACAATCTCTTTACATTTGGCAAGGGCATAATGAATAAATACATCTTCACATGTAATAATAACAGTGATGTCATCAAAGTGAGCACAATCAAATAAAGTGATTTTAACACAACAATGAAACAACATAAAAATATAAAAAGCATATTCATAAAATAATAAAAAATGAGAAAAAAGAGCATCCTCCAAAGAATCAAATACCTCCTTATAGATAGATAGATACTTTATTGATCCCCATAGGAGACAGCAGCAGAGGTGGAGTAGCCTCTGGGTGGAGCAGGACGGGTCACAGCAGCAGAGGTGGAGTAGCCTCTGGGTGGAGCAGAACGGGTCACAGCAGCAGAGGTGGAGTAGCCTCTGAGTGGAGTAGCCTCTGGGTGGAGCAGGACGGGTCACAGCAGCAGAGGTGGAGTAGCCTTTGGGTGGAGCAGGACGGGTCACAGCAGCAGAGGTGGAGTAGTCTCTGGGTGGAGCAGGACGGGTCACAGCAGCAGAGGTGGAGTAGCCTCTGGGTGGAGCAGGACAGGTCACAGCAGCAGAGGTGGAGTAGCCTCTGGGTGGAGCAGGACTGGTCACAGCAGCAGAGGTGGAGTAGCCTCTGGGTGGAGCAGGACAGGTCACAGCAGCAGAGGTGGAGTAGCCTCTGGGTGGAGCAGGACGGGTCACAGCAGCAGAGGTGGAGTAGCCTCTGGGTGGAGCAGGACAGGTCACAGCAGCAGAGGTGGAGTAGCCTCTGGGTGGAGCAGGACAGGTCACAGCAGCAGAGGTGGAGTAGCCTCTGGGTGGAGCAGGACGGGTCACAGCAGCAGAGGTGGAGTAGTCTCTGGGTGGAGCAGGACAGGTCACAGCAGCAGAGGTGGAGTAGCCTCTGGGTGGAGCAGGACAGGTCACAGCAGCAGAGGTGGAGTAGCCTCTGGGTGGAGCAGGACAGGTCACAGCAGCAGAGGTGGAGTAGCCTCTGGGTGGAGCAGGACAGGTCACAGCAGCAGAGGTGGAGTAGCCTCTGGGTGGAGCAGGACGGGTCACAGCAGCAGAGGTGGAGTAGCCTCTGGGTGGAGCAGGACAGATCAGAAGGTGGAGTAGCCTCTTGGTTTGGACCATTTTCTCTGCTCTAGTCCAAAGTAAAATGCTAAAAGCTTATTGCTAAATAGTAATCCAGAAACTACACAGCCTGGAGTTTGTGTTCGCTGTGGGATTAATAAAGTCTCTTAATCTTAATCTTTCCATTGTTACTTGCCCTACAACAGTACTAATTACCACCATTAATTACACAGAAATGACCCACGATCTTTGCTCCACACTTGTTATCTGCCCGTCACAGCAGCCCTCCAGACACATTAGAATAGATATGATAAAACATGTCTAACTGGATAATAGAAGGGATTAAAACAATAATAGTAAATAAGTAATCTTCATTTACTGTAGCGCCTTTCACAGACCAGGGTCAAAGTGGTTTACAATTGTTATTTTTTGGGCATTAGTCTCTCACTCCACAGAGAGATGGGAGGGGCCAGTACAGGAGGCACAGACCTATTGTACATGTTTTGTGGTAGGGGAAACCGGAGCAGACACGGGGAGAACATGCAAACTCCACTCAGAAAGGCCCTGGTCCGACTGGGATTCGAACCCAGGAGCCTCTGGGTGCTATCCACTCAGCCACCGTAATAATCCAGGGGTAGACCAGGCATGTCAAACTCAGGCCCGTGGCCAAAATTCGGCCCAAACGACCATTTTCAGTGGCCCCTTGAAATGGTTTTTGATTTTGATTTTTACAGTTTTTAATTTTTACAGTAACTTGCAGCTTTGATGGTTTTGGGATACGATGGCATGTTATACTTCATTTATAGCTTATTCTCTCAGGAATACGACCATATAATTTAATCTGTTTTAAAATTTTAACTAAATACAAGTTAATCTTATATGTTTTATGTAGATTATCAGTGTTTAATTACATCTCTTCTTGATATTTGGCAGAGGAAATAACTTCCAAACTAATGTCAATTATTTATTTATTTTGGCAATAATTCAATATATTGTCAAAAGTCAAAAATATAAATAAAAAAAAGATTATAAAAGAAAAATTACCGGCCCCAAACAGCTCTTAACTTTTTCAAATTGACCCCGACCCAAATGAGTCTGACACCTCTGGCGTAGACGTGACCTCCAACAACATGCGTCACTTCGATGATGTAACAAGATCCAAAATATGATCAGAAAAAAACAGGTGAAAAGACAAAAGAATGAAGCTCGAGGCACTTTCCACCTGCACAAAGTCTGTCACGGCCTATTGTGCGACTCCACAAAGACATTTCTCCAAAGGCTAAGATTTAAATAGATTATAATTACAGCTCGGTTTAAGAAGAACAAAGGAGTGTGTAATGTTATTAAGACAAAGTGATATTTTAAACCCATTGTGTTTCTTTTGTGATTGGCATTTTTCATTTGTATCACATTTTGCATGAATAAAAATGCCATTGATGGTAAAAATGTGTACTATTGTTTATTCTGTTAAAGAACAATAAACACATCTATAAATCTGTAAAACCAAGTGCAATTATAGCTCCAGAGTTTTGTTTTGTTCTATTTTATCATGACTTATTAATTTATTTCTTAAATATAGACCTGTTTGATTGTTCTTTCTCTGCTGTAATGTGTGCAACAATGACACTGAATTTTCCCCACTGCGGGACGAACAAAGGAATATCTTATTTTATCTTATAGTAAACATGACCACTCACAGCTTTCACCCACAGAATGGTTCCTAATAATAATAAGGAACGCGCAAATGAGGGGCGCGAGGGTGGAAGTGCGAGTATTGGGACGGGGCCTACAGCTCTCCTCTGTGTAGCTCGCAGCTTATGTAGCTAGTTAGCTACCCGCCGCCATTGTTGTTTATCTTTGTTCTCAGCGTCTGCGCATGTACGTGCGGGGAGCAGTGGGGAGGTGGGCTCTGATAACGAGAGAATTCACACCTTTTCCTTCACGCAGGTGTGAAAGAGCGCCCCCTACTGAGCAGCGTTTCTGAGCTGTCCCACTCTGGAGCTGGATCTTAACGCTTACGTTTTCACCTGGAACACAGTCTCCGTGTAAACAGGAGGTGGCAACAGAAATCCAACTCTCGCGTTTTACTGCCTCAGCGTCTGCGTCTAAACGGGGCCTAAATCGGTCCATTGTAAACTAGAGCGATTCAGCCAGACTGAAAATGGAAAAGCTCGGACTCAAACTTTAGTCTCATGCAATAGTTTTACATCAGTTAATAATAATAATGCATCGGTTTTATATAGCGCTTTTTTGGACACTCAAAGACGCTTCACATGTGTCATTATTCATTCTCTCCAAACACGGTGGTGATAAACTACTGTAGCCACAGCTGCCCTGGGGCACACTGACAGAAGCGAGGCAACCAGTCTGTGCCATAGGCCCCAACCACCACCACCAACCATTCACACACACACCAGACTCATTCTAGGCAATGGGGGTGAAGTGTCTTGCCTAAGGACACAACAGCAGTTTGGCACTTTACAGCCGCAGCCGCCCCACTGTGGCTGGTGTTCCCAGAGGTTAAGTGTCTTGCCAAGGACACAACAACAGTAGTCAGTGGGAGTCGATGGCGAAAGTCTTGAGCGGGGCTTGAACCCATGACCTGCTGGCTCA